CACTAAACTATGTTTTCTACCTTTATCTTGCATCTACCTACCACTTCAGCATTTTATTAAAAATAAAAATAATAATAATAATAAAGGGAGAAATGTGGGATCCACATATAAATCAAGTATAAAAATCAAACGAATATTCATATTTGACCTGATTGTTTATAGTTCATAATGCGTGATCAAAACCGAAAGTTTCTGTGATGAATGCCCTTGTACTGTTCACCATGTAAGAATTTATTCACTATGTAAGAATTCGTTCACCATGTAAGAACTTGTTCGTTATGCTTCAGAAGATTGGAAACTGATGAGAATTAGGCTTGAGATGGATTAATGATTGTGCATTGAGCATTGACCCCCCTATACTGAATTTTATTGTTGTTAACAACCATTTGATCAATAAATATGAGAGATGCCCTCTCAAAAAAAAAAAAAGTTATGAAAAGAACATGTTCACATCTACTGTTGGTGTGTTTCCTTTCGTGTACAGTGAGACAAAGGAGCTGATGGAGCTGGGGAGAAGATGGCCAGACCAGCTGGGTGCCTCCAATGGACGGAAGCAGTGAGGAACCCATCACGGAGGAGAAGGGGCGGAGGAGCAGGGGGAGGAAGTAAAGCAACAGAGAGGCGACCAGGCAAACCAGACTACAAACAGGCACGGTTCCCCAGGGGAGAAGCACGTTTTATGAGATGGACGGCTTCAGTTGTCTTGACAGATAGCCCTGGAACCCCCACACTCCAACACATTGTTCTCTGAGGAACAATTTCAGCATACAGGCGATAGAGCACACGCAGGTGACCCAAGTCTCAGAAACACTCCTTACTGGGGTTTTTCCTCCTTAGTCTTATGATGTGTCTTCGCAAGCCGTGCAAATTCAGGGCCAGACAGTGGTACTCCAGCAGTAAATCCTCTTCTCTCACATTAACTATTCTTAAAACAGTTTTCAGACAAGTGAAGTCGTTGCTAGAACTAAGAAGGCAACTTGTTACTTTTAATGCTTACTTTACAGTTGCAAATTGCAATGGGAGGGGGAGAAGATGTTTTAACTTCGATATAAAAATACCTTTGATTTTGCTCTTGCTCCTCTTGAATTCTTGCTTCACCAAAGTTCTCAACTTTGCTTCTGTTGACCTGCCACAGGACATAAGCCATGATCTGAGAGCCTTTCCCAAAGCAGGCAGAGCAAGTTATGTTTACCGTTTGTCCTAGATGAGAAGAAAATAAATTCACCAATAAAACTAAATCCTGTGAAAAGTACTTTAGTTTAATGTGAAAAAAAACTCACTGAACCCCTAAAGTGTGCCATGAATTGGTCCCCATTTCCCCTCGTCATCTCCAGGCCTTCGCCGTCCTCTGCCCTCACCTAACCTCCACCCTTCTCCTCTCCGCATTATCTTTATTTTACTCACAGTTCTGGTTGAAACTCGGTTCCCAAACCCTCTTACTGGAGTGAAAACTAAAGAGGCAAACAACTCTGCTTCACCAAGCCCACATTATAATATAGGATTTCCCTTTACTATAAAGCAGAATCTCTCTGTAACTTCTCTCTTCCACACCTTTCTCCTCCTGCCTAATTCTCTTCATCTCTCTAGAAGCTATCTTTGTTGGTAAAACGGTTTTACCTGACCTGGCTACAATCCCTGTACCTGATCGTCCAACACAAGCACTCTGCATCCCAACTCCTGAATTTGAAATTCCTCCTTGCAGAACTGAAAGCTTAAAGGCTGCCTTCCTGCCCTGACACAGGTGTTCAGCCATCCCTTACCCAGCCCCCTGGGTTCCCGCATCAAGAATCAGGCATCTGCAGAGGGATGACAAGCTCAGTCTCTCAAAAGGCAACAGTCGCATAAACAAATGGTTAGAACACGAGGTATTCTCATGTTCTAATAGAAAGAATGACAAAGTGACACGGGAATACAGAGGGAGAAATCGTTGCAAGGAGCAGGGTTGCCACACTGCACACATAAATGGTACCCTTGGCCTTGGAGGGTGGCTTGGGGGATTTCACAGAGGAGATGATATTTGACCTTAGTATTGGGAGATGAAAAGGAGAAAACAATGTGAAAAAAAAGCAGAGAAGAATGTGGAGATAATGCATATCAGTGTGTGGAATAAAATGCAATTTTATGGTCCCCATGGAGGCCCCACAAGCAAGGTAAACCGTGCAGGGTGGAGATACCTTCCATCAGCCGGGACACCTCATGCCGTGCGGTGGCAATGCCATACAACCACTCAGCCTGTGTCAGCAAGATTGCCACAGCCCCCTCACCCATGATGAAGAAGAGAAACAAGCCAAATTGCCCAAAAAAGGTAACGTGGAAGGAAATCTGGTTCTCACATCCTTAATAGGATGCTTTAGGAGAATGAGTAACAATCCTAATCCTTGCCTCCTCTCACATAGAAATACAGCATGAGAATGTGCATTGCTGCTCTTGCAAGACTCTAGCCAAATGCATCCTCAACACACAGCTTTGATACATTGATAAATGTAACTTCTTCCCTGCCTGTGCTCCTACTGTAAAAAGGTATATAAACAAACTATACCCAGATAAAGGGCTTTGGAGAAATCTGATCAGAACTCTCTGATCAACTGTCATCCCAGGTTATGGCCCTCAGGAAGACTCTGAAAAAACTCTTTCTTAATACAAAAACTGTTTATGTCAGTCAACAAAGGTAACAACTGAGTGATGGTTAATGTGGTGGGCACACAGGGCACCTGAGATTAGTGGCTGCATATGAGCCAGGTGGCCAGTGAGGACCAGGTCATGAGGGGACCCATTTTCCATGCTAAGAACTTTGAGTAGTGGACATACAGGAAAGGCCAAGATGGACAGAGCCAGAAACCCTGGGTATCATCTGTCTATCATTAATTACCCATGACCCTGAGCATGCCATTTGTCTGTCTGAACCTAAGTATACACAAGTGTGAAGCAGAAGCAGAATCTACCCCTTGGTTAGATGTGAGCATGAAATGAGATGGCACTTGTGAAAGCCCCATGAGATTAAAAGCATGATGGAAATGTGCCTGCTAACTATGGCTGCGACCACCTTGTCCCAATATTAACAAGTGCCAAGGTGGGTTTTTCCCCACAAGGCTTCTCATGTAATCTTCAAGATCCAGTATACTAACTGCCTGACCTTTGCTTAGATAATTTGGACCAGAGATTTTATGGAAGGATTTTCCAGGCAACATTTACAGCAGTCTTCAAGTTTCCTTACCAATTTCCACTTCCTTTGTTTCATTGTGTGGAGGAGCTATAATTACTGGAAACAGAGAAAAGCTTTGCTCATCTTAAAGAAAAAAAAAGAGCATATAAATATTAGAAATGCATTGGCAAGTCATCAGTATAAAGCTTGTGCTTTCATATTTCTATTGTATTTCATAGCAACATTTCTCACATTTTTCCACGATGACCCATGGCGATAAGTACTCACACAGAGGCCCACAAATGAAGGAAACAGAAAACATTCAAGTAACACTTTCTCTTACTACCTCTGATACTTTCTGATATTTCCTATACTTTTTTATAGCATGGAAACAATTGTTAGTCCAACCCATTAAATTAGTTGCATGCCCTAGCTATTGTTGAAAACCTCAGCTCTACTGAATAAGCTACAGGGAAAAAGGATGTAAAAGATGCATGAAAATGATAAACACCCAAGTCCCACAGTTTTCCTGTTTTCTCACAGCTTTCCATCACTGCGGCCCATCCTATGAGGGAATTCTAACTCCTGGGGGGTTGATGCCTAGGGAAAGTGGAGAGGGGGTCTTCTGGAGCATTCCTGCTTTCCTGCGCACCCTGGATTCTTTTATTTTTTCAGGGTAGTGTGATTAAGGACGGCTGCCTGCTTTGATATTTAACAATGAGAGGCGCTAATAGAATGTGATCTGGTGATGCTTAGTTTACAGCATTGAAAACCTCCAAATAATACTTTTCTCCACTACTGGGCTGCCCGAAGAAACCTGCCACACATGTAGATGCTACTTCACCTACATCCACAAAACAAGCTGTTCCATGGAGACCACAACTCTTTGCAGAGTTGATACAATTAATTGTGAAGTCTTCCCTCTCTCTGAACAAGCTTGTAGAGAATTTAAAGTAAGTTTAAAAAAAATATTTTTTGGAATCAAATGACCTACTTGAGGTCAAACCAGGATTGAAAACTACCCGAGAATATTTTTGTATTCCTTTGTAAAGCTGTTCGCCAAACTTTCAATCCAGCCAGTTAAATTGATTTTTTTTTCTCTTTACAGAACCTCTGACAACAAATCAGGAGAAGGAAAGTCAATCTTGCTTTGCAAATAGTTGTACTGCCATTCAAACAAGTTAATGAAGCTAGCATTCAGATTGTGTTGTCTTTGAAAACTGATTCATAAAGGAGAGAACAGATGTGACTCTGGATTAGTAGTGTAATCTCCCTCTGAAACATCTCAAATCTTGAGAGTGCATTTAGAAAATCTCTCTGTGTCACAGTAGAGAATGTGTAAGACACAGATGTAAGTAGAATAACATAAGATGAAGCAGGAGGATGTCCCAGGGAGGAGGGCAAAGTACAGCCATACCACCTTATCCACAGTTCTCCTTCTGTGGTTTCAGTTACTGAGGTTAACTGAGGGCAGAAATATTACATGGAAAATTCCGGAAGTAAATAATTCATGAGTTCATGAGTTCTAAACTGCATGCTGTTCTGAGTATGGTGAGGAAATCTCACACCATCCTACTCTGCCTTTGTCCAGCTCGTCCTCACTATATACACTAGCTGCCCATTAGTCACTAAGTAGCCTCTGGTTAGCAGATGACTGTCACAGTATCACACTGCATTTTTGCTCACTTTATTTACTTTACTTAACAATGGCTCTAAAGCACAAGGGTAGATGCTGGTAAGTCAGATATTACAAAGAGAAGCCGTAAAGTGCTTCATTAAGTGAAAAGGTGAATGCTCTCGACTTGATAAGGAAAGACAAAATTTTATTAAAGTATATTGTTATAAATTGTTCCAATTTATTGTTAGTTACTGTTATTAATCTCTTACTGTGCCTAATTTATAAATTAAGTTTTATCATAGGTACCTGTGTATAGGAAAAACATAGTATATGTAGGAGTTCAGTACTATCTGTGGTTTGAGGCATCCCTGGGATCTTGAAAGTATGCTTATGGATTGCGGGGGGGGCTACTGTGTAAGAAAGTCAACAAAAAGGAAACAATTCCTCTCATGTTATCTTTTTTCAAATATTCTGTTTTGTTAAATTCAGTAGCTTACCTTCAACTGTGAATGATCTGGTTGCTGTCACATTGTAGGTGACCCCATTTTCATTGTGCATAAATTTACATGTATAATCACCTGCATCTTTGCTAGTTACATTGTCAATTAGCAAAAATGTCTTGTGTGAGCGGTATCTCAGGCCTTGAAGAGCTTTACAATTCTGCAATGAAAAATCCCTTTCTGTTTTCAGTAATTCTTTTTTGCATCTATTTTCATTATGCAGTTTTCATCTATTTTCCCCAGATTTCCTCCTACCTTAAACCACTCAACAGGTGCTGTCCAATTGTAGAGGCCAATTGTAGGGCAATATATTTTGGAATTTTTTTCGGATCCAGATGTTGTTGAATACATCCGATAATCTGGAATATTGCAATCTGGTTGTTTTCCATATACAGTGACATTCACATATCCAGTCTTATTGGAGGTAGGACTATTGAAATAAGACAATTTTTAAAAGTTACTTAGCATAATGGAGTAACTTCCTCCAATTCTCACTTTTACTATTTTTTTTCTTAGAACAAGTGATATATAGTGACTCTTTTTTATTTAAAAGTAAGAGTTTTTAATGCTTTCTTGTTACATTTGAGATAAAGAATATAACCACTGTGGTACCCCTAAAATGACTCCTTCCCCATTTCTTTATACAGTGTATCTGTTAATGACAAGAACATGAAATTATAAAGACATTAAGCATTTATTGAGAGTGACTATGTACCATTCATGGTGTTAACATTATCTCATTTTGTTCTCAAAACAATGCTTTGAAGTGGGTTATCATATGCATTTTACAGATGAGGAAATGGAGGGGCAGATGCTGTGAGAAGTTAGCATCTCACAGCTAAGTAGTTACAGAGCATGAATTTGAAATTAAAACTTGCCTGACCTCAGAACCTAGGCACCAAACACATCTTGCCTTTTGATGTGTCCACCTGACATTTTATATGTACGAAACCAAAACATTTAACAATTTATATGTAGAATAAGTAATTTGTAGGCATGTAATCTCATGTAACCCTCTTCACTTACCTCTCAAGTTTAAGGCACTGGTAAATGTCCTTCTGCACTCCCCATGGAATCCTTGACACCCAGCATCTAGGTCACTGGTTTTGCGCTGGTTTGTTCTTACTTCCAGCCAAAAGTGAACAATTGCTCTCACTTCTCTTGGTCACTAGGAAAACTAGGTCTTTTTCAAATTGGACTACAATTTGCTCCCTGTCATTATGCATGCAAATAGTTAGCTCATAACCACCTAAACTTCAACCTGAAGGTGTTCCTAAAAGTATTACTCTTATTCAATTTGCTTTATAAATTTAACTGTTCCAGAGAAATCTAGAAAGGTAAAGAAAATGAGGGCAGCTCCGACTTTCAACTACTAAAGAAGTAAAGGGAGCAAACCCAAGGATTCTTGTGGCCACCTGGGTAATACCTTCTGATAATGCAAGTATAAATTCCAGAATCATTGACGTTGGCCGGGAGAAATTTAAGGTGTTCCCCTGAGGCAAATACACGATTTCCTCTCTGGGTGGCAATATTTATGTTGGCTTCTGAGTAATACCAATCCACAGGGTATTGAGATTTTCCTTGTCTAGGACATCTCGCAATTAAAGCCTCATTTTCCAGACCCCAGGATGGTTTTCCTGCAAATGAAAGAAAATATATAAACGTGATCCTGAAATGATCAAATGAAAATATTATAATTCCTATATTAGAAATGGGATATACTTTGTGATACTTTACTGAGAAAGAGTAAGTAAATGATGAAGATCTTTTATGAAATGTTCTACTGGGTACCACAGGTTAAGGAATGCATTTGAAGCTACATCCCCCACCTGGCTCCAATGGAAAAGCAGCCATGCCTACCTGCACAAAGCATGCTGTCAATCAACAAATGTTTACTGTACTCCTATATGCAGGCAGCACATTCAATTTGGGAATATTTGAATATCTAAAACTAAAATGATGATACATTTGTTATGAAGAATTTGTCTTGATAGATTTGTGATGAAGAGTGACTATAGAGCATAAGTGAAATTTCCAGGTTACAATTTAATTGAACCAACTGGAAGCAAACAGTTTAATACAAGGCAAATGTTTCTAGAAATACTTAATTTAAAGAATTTTAAATTCTAGTTGACAATATAATACTTACTAAACTTAGCTGCTGTGGAATGTATAAGAACTGTTAGAGTGGCTAAGACCCAAAGTCTCATTCTCGATTTTTCAGTTTAGAGCAAGTATCTGGTATCGGTAACTGATTGTTGAGGTTATTCAAGTTGAATCTGTGACATATGATGGTGAGGGTCTCCACTAGAAGGCTGATGGCACTACCTAAGATTTAGAGTTGGAAAGAACTGTCAGTGTCTCTACTGAAAAATACAACATACAAAATCACAAGCAAAATATTTATAGCTATGATTTTTACTTACTTAATAAACCCCTCCCAGGAGAAATAATCAACAAGTATTTGTTACGTATAAATGTATATAACAACAAAATTTCACACATGCATCATTGCATTTATTTTTACTAAGCCTCAGGGCCACTTAGACCCTACAACAGTCATGCTATTCACAGTCCCACAAGCAGGTGCTGAAAGAAGCTACATTAAGAGGAAAGAAAATTAGTTCCTATTTTTGAAAAAAATTAAAACCAAAAAACTCAACAGACCCCAGAAAATACAATATTAGAAATGCTAATATAAAACCACAGGTACCCACACTGACTGGCAGCTGCATACACACACGTGATCCACACTTAGGCACATACACAAAGCAACTAAGGAATACAGGAAAGTGACCAGGAAAGCAGTAATCAAATTGCTCTGGAGACTAAACTTTGTTCCTGCCTCAGTTTGTCCCCAAGATTTACCAAAATTTTTCTAAGAATAGCTGGAGATCTGTGAAAAATAACAACTTCTTTTTTTATTTTCTTTCAGCTCAAGAATCATTTAACTATATCATTTTTTTTAAAAAGTCAGGGGAGGGATGGAACCAACATACAAACTGACAAATGTAAGAATACATAAAGCAAACCTTGCTAGATTTCAAGAAAGCATATTTCCTCCAAACATGAACTATTGATACTTTTCTTATTATAAGCATGGAAAAGTTTTCATTACAAACTTTAGATAGTAACTGATGCTTACCCAAACTGAGACAGAAGGCATGAATGCCAAGTCAGTGATCAAGCTAATAGTTCCCCGTTACGGCGGCTCCTTCCTTGCAGACTCCCATGATCATCTCTCTCTCTTATTTTAAAGGGGAGACACTCAAAGACATCCTGCAACTCACCACTCCACCCACCCTGAGATTTGAGTTTTAGCCAAAATTCATGACTTATTCATAAATGCCAGTAAGTCACATGCCAAAAATTCTTGACTTTGGTATTTAAATATTTAAACATAAGAAGAATGCAGAATAATCCCTTCCAAGGAGGTAACCAAATCACCTCCCCCTATTTGAGCTTCAGTTTCTCAAGATGAGTAAGATTTTTTGTTTACTGCCCTGATATTATTACCCCTTTGGTTCTAAAGGATCCTGAAGTCTTGGGGCCTTGAGTCTGCCCTTCCAGGTTGAACTGACACTTCTTTTGGCAGAAACAAGTTAGGCAGTCTCAGCCAGCTTTGGCACATGCAGTAAGAAAAGTTTCAAAAGCAAGTGGGGTTTGTGGGGAGCAATGAAAAGTAAGTAGGGCCCTATGGGGGTTTGCAAATGCTCTGTTTATGGTTCAGAATGTGACACAGTCTCATCCAAAAACAGACTCCAGTTCCTCAGAGTTAAATCCTTGCAGGGCTCAGTTTGCACCGACAGAAGTAAATTTCTAAGGAGTTCAGGAAAGTAGAGGGGGACTGTGAGTAAGAGGGCTTTCTCACGGCCAGCGACAAGGACAGCCCCAACCCTCATCTCTGGAGCTCCATGTAAACCAAATGTTAATTGCAAAACATGGTTTGAACTACGTAGAGCCAGTATGACTCTATTTTATTATGAGTCAATTCAAATTACTTTTTAAACTCATCACATCCCAGAAGGATTCAGGGACTAATTCCAGACCAGCACCATAACTTAATAATAAAAGTTAAGATTTATCTAGAACTCACTTGAGCCAAATAAAGTTCTAAGTGACTTACACATATCAACAGCATTTTCCCAACCATGCAAGGAGGCAGGTACTATTCTATATCCCCACTTTATAAATCAGGCCACCAAGGCACAGAAAGGTTAAGCAACTTCTTCAAGTCACATACTGCTAAGAGGCAGAGGCAGAATTTCAACGCAAGCTAGCTGACTGCAGAGACTAGATGCCTAATCACTAAGTTATCTTGCCACCAGGTGCAGACGGTGAGAAGAGGAAGCATTACAAAGAGGGTTCTAGCAGGTTTTCGGAGCCGGTTTACTACAGCCTCCCCCTGACGCTGTGGCTGGCAGGGCTCTACAGCAGATCCTCCGTATGCATGAGGCTTAGTCAGATTTGGGGTATTAGTCATGTGCTCTGAGAGGAAGAGATACAAAGTCCTGTCACAGCTGGAAGATATACCATAAGATGTTTGGCTTAAATTAAAGGAACTAGGTCTGCTTGTTGCTGTTCTCAAGTTATTTGAAAAAGTTCTTATTTTCATGATCATACAAGTTTCACACAGAGGCCCCAGAATCAGGAGCAGGTGAACTTGGAAGAACACCTGGTCACCGTGAGCCCTAGATAGCACTTTGTTAAATAAAATAATACAAACTGGAATATTCTTATTCTCGAATAGATACTTCTGTTTTACATCCTAAAACATCTTTTAAAATTTTTTTATTAAATTAAGGCATTTATTCATGAGCCGGCCACATTTACATTGGTTTTTTGTTTTAAGAAAGGTTTATCAGTTAAAAATTAGTTTCAATTAGAATTTCAACATACTAATCATGAAATCTTAAAGAAGCACTTAATAAAGTCTATCATTGTAAAATAATTCAGTCATCCATTCAACAATTAAGTCTTTTCGTTCAAAGTACAATACTGTGTGTATGTATTATCAGCATTATTCTAAGTTTACGGATTAAAATTAAAAACCAAGATTGAGTCTGGTTAAAAAATTTGACCAAGCTCACCCAGTTGTAGCTGGGGTTGAAACCAATCTTGTTGAACCTCAAAGCCAAGACTTTTTTTTTTAATATCAACTAAAAAAAAAGGGATTAGAGCAGTAGTTTTTCTTTTATAATTGCAACTGGGTTATTCAACAAAATAGGCTAGTTCCTCCAAGCCTCTTCTTTATAAAGAACTAAACTATTTTGGCTTCTAACTACTATGGTACCATCCAACATTAAAGTATAGTAGTTTATAGCAACTAAGACAAAATATGAAAAGTAAGAGGTTCCAGTAAATACATGAAACAGAGATTTTGAGCAGCCATGAACATCTGCCAGGTCAAGCAGAAATCTTCCAGTGTCTACTTATTTCTCTGGCAGACACCCTCTTTTAACAATTCTTAGAACTACTCTACATTTTTTAAATTAATCTAACCTAATATGGACATAGTTTTTCTGACTTGGGTGTTAAAATTTTGAAAGCTGCATGGCTCTGTTTATAATCAAATTCTCCGACATTTCTATGAAAACACTAAAAATCTTTATTTCCAGAGTTACAGTTAATGGCTTGCATTTGGAACCAGGCACTCAAATATTTCATAACTTAGAAGATGTCATGTGAGGCTTATTCACTGGTCTTGGCTGATGTCACAGCTACATCAAGATGCAGATATCTTGACACACACCAGAGCTGGCCCTGTGTGGCCTGGTCTTCCCATAAATCACATCAAAAGTTGGAAAATTTTCCCTGTTGATCTTACATGAATTTTAAGTGGGTCAGGTTATCACTCCTTGATTCTCACAAGCATGAGCAATGGGGGAACTTTTTCCACATTTCATTAGCTGGTGTTTCAGATGCCGCTGTCCTTCCATGTCTCCTGATCAAGTGTGTCAGGGCATGTGACAATGGGGCAGAACCTGTGTGGTGTCTGGGGGCCTGGCTCCAGGCCCAGCTCCAGCTTCTGTGGCCCTGTGGGCCAAGCACTCCTGTCTTCTCTGGTTCTGCTCTGCTTTACTACTCCAGAGCCTAGTAGCCCTCAATGCCCAGCTCCCTCTCCGGGTCTTCCTTCCGGTCACACCCAGTCCTCCCCTTCAACAGCTGGAAAAAACTGGTGTGCATTCAAGGATGAGCTGGAATTAGCAAAGCTTTGTTTCTCCAGAACAAAACTCCTCATCTCCAGCAGCCCTCTCTCCCCCTAAGAAAAGCAAGTTGTCTCACAGCTTTATCCCAATGATGGAAGCTCTGTCCTTCCAGCTGCTCAAGCCAAATTTTTCCTATGTGGTTAACTCTTCTTTCCTCACAAATCTGACATGCGATCCATCAGGACATCCGATCAGCCTCACATTCTAAGTACATCTTACCTGCAGCTACTCCCCACCCCCACTGCCCCCTTCCCTGTCATTTCTCACCTGGATTTTAACAACAGTGTCTAATAGTCCTCCCTGCTTCCACCGGTGCCCCTCTTCAGACTAGTCTTAATACTGGAGCTCCAGAGATGCTGTGGAACCCAACATACAGCCTAGAGGCCTCCAGCCTTTCCACCTTGCCCTTAGAGATGACGTCCATGGAGCTGCTATAAAGGCCCACGTGCACTGAGGCCCGCCTGCTCTCTGACCCCTCCCCCCGTCTGTCCTGCATGTCCCCTGACCTCTTCAGGCCTGCTCTGCACTCTCTTTCCTTTGGATGGCTTCTCCCAGTTACCCCCGGGGCTGGCTTTCTCCGCTCCTCCAAGTAGATGCTCCCATGGTACCTTCTAAACGAGGCTTAACCTCAATACTCATTTTTCTTTTCTTTCTTTTTGCTTCTGAATCACTTTTTTTATAATTGAGGTGAAATTCACATAACATAAAATTAATCATTTTAAAGTAACAAGTCAGTGGTATGAAAACCACCACCTCCAACTAGTTCCAAAAGATTTTCACCTCCCCCCAAATAAAATCCTGTACCCATTAGTAGCCATTCTCCCCTCCTTCACTCCCCCTAGCCACCAATCTGCCCTCTGTCTCCAAGGATTAGCCTATTCTATTTCATTTATATGCAGTCATACAATAAGTGACTTCTATGTCTGACTTCTTTCATTTACGTAGTGCAGTCAGGGTTCATCTATGTTGAAGCATGCATCAGTACTTCATTCCTTTTAATGGTTGAATAATATTCCATTGCATTGGGATATTACATTGTATTAGGGTATTGATTTATCCATTCATCCACCAGTGGGCACTTGAGTTGCTTCTGCCTACACCTGTTGTGAATAGTGCTGC